CGGCATCGGTATTTCTCAGTTTTGAGATAAATTCGAATTCTAGCCGGAGACCTAAATAAGAAGCTCTCCTTCACTTCTATTATGAACCTAAAACGAACTTTCAACAGAAAATTCATCTGATCTCGTAAAATTTTATTTAATTACGTCGTAACTGATTCTAACTTAACTGGAAGAATTAACTAACTGAAAGAATGCCTGTGTTTTCTTGGGAAACAAGCCAATGGTGAAAGTTGAGACTTTTAAGAAAAGAAAAGCCCTTGTGCACATGGCAAACTTTATTCTAAAAAATGCATTAAATTTGGGACAAATTGTTTGACAACAAGTAAGCCTTTCCTTTCCGAAAGTATTATTTGAATGAAAGCTTCAATAGATTAGTGCGAAAATGTCTATGTTTTCTTGCATTTTATATTTCTTCCTATTAAAAATTATTTGACAGCAATTAATCGGGCAGAGAGATTTGGGAGGGGGGGGAATTTGGTTTTTCTGTCTGAGGAGAGAGGGAGAAAACAGAATGCTTCTTGCATCATAAAAAAAAATTTAATTTTATAACTTTTTTGTGTGTGTTTATTCCAATTCTGATGAGGATTGACTGTTATGTTGATTGGTAAAATAGTTTTATCTTTATTTAACTATAAACCACTTGGTATCGTTCATTGTCACTCTTCTAAGCAATAATAACCACCAAATGTGTTTTATACATTGTCGCTGTTGTTGTTATTATTTATCCAACATCTGTTACAGATGACTAGTTTTGATAAAATATTTCTTGTGCTAAAATCAAGAAAATTGGCAATTTTCTTTTTTTTCTTTTCCTTTCTCTTTCTCTCTCTCTTTTTTTAAATCTGTGTGTCTGGGTGCGTGTGTGTGTGTGATGGTGTGCTTGCGTGTGTGGTCTGTTGAAAAAATTATTATCCAATAAAAAGCAGCAATTATAATCAAGGAAACATAACTATCTTTAAAAATATAAACATTTTACAAAAATTATTATTACTTGTCAATAGCTCCTACCGTACGATTAAATGAAATTAAAACTTTTATTTAATTTAACTTTCAATTAGTGGTAAACATACCGCATTTTAACATTAACAGTATCATGAGAAATGCAAGTGATTGGGAACATTGCAGACAGTTTTTAGTTCAGATGTGAGGGGGGCCTAGTTTAAAAATGTTCTAATGATTAAAAGATGATGGTTCTAATGATTAAAAGTAAAAAGTTACCTGTTGGTAAACCAGAGTAATTTTAAGTAGTATATTTTGTTACACAGAATATTATACACCACAAAGATGATTTAATAGCGATTTCATTTCCGTAAAAATTTAAATATATGGTACATGGCCACGGTATTCAAGTTACCACAATCTCAATTTTGCCGCCCAACGACGATAGTGGTCAGCGACAGAAGGACACAGGTTCAAATCCCGAAGAATGCATAAATGTTTGTAAATTTGCCTCGATGAATTTCGGGGACTTGTTCCGATGTTACTGGTAGACAAGTGAGGTAAGTCACAACAACAATGCAATCCCATTTTTTTCCTCCAACCACAAAGCAAAAAATTTACATTGATAAAATTCCTTTTTCCATTTAGAATTTCGATTAACAAAAAGCCTTTTTTTACTGAAAACCTCCATTTGCACTGTTTTAAAGCAGCAGTTAACGGAAGAAAATCTTTGTAGACCATAGATGGAACTTTTCATTTCTAAAAAACCAATCATATTTTAATAAAAGTCTTCGACCACATCTAAGGAAGATAAAAAGGTAGAGCAAGTTCGTGGAATTTCTAAGCCATTTGATTTATCTTTGGTTATCTCGCACAGCATTGAAGCTGATGAGTCTTTGCTGCTAAGCTGCAATCGATTAGATTGCATGGCTCAATTAATCATTACTAGCATAAGGCTTAGTAAAGAATAAAATATTTGAGAATTATTATCTCTTATTATTCATCTGAGTAATATATTTTAGTCCCAAATATCGATTAAATAGTCATAATCATTAGATGATTACTGCTTGTGAGAGACTGCAACCTGAATTTTCTAGTTCGTAAAAATTATTTTTTGTAAATGATTGTGAAGGGCAATGTGCAGTTTTACTTAAAGATATAATCTTTATACAGAAAATAAAATTAGCCTCAAAATAATACGCAGGTTGTTCAGAATTGTGTAATCGCAAAGGGCAAATAATGCATCTTTTGAAATTGATGTAAAATATCACTAGCATCACCTAAAAAGGATAGAAACACATATGTTTATTTCATCATCATCATCATACGATTCTGCCAAAAAGTACGTCAATCTCTTAGAAGACTTATTTTTTTGGACATGCAGTTTTTTTTAATTTTGTAGTTTTGTCAATACAGTTAATTGCTCAACTAGAAGCTGAAAAAAAAGTATCACTGGAGGAGTGAGTCTGTAAACCAGCTTCACTTCTGATCATTGCCCTATTCGTTTACAATTAAATAAATACCCTTTAAAAGAAACAAGTGTTAAGAATGCATAACATATCACATAGTGAAATGAGAAGTATCTGTATCTGTCCAACAAATTTTCATTTTAAATATACCAAGTTTGTTGTATGAAATAAAATTTACATGATAAGTAAAGGTTTCTTAAAGAATGTATAAACTGCCCAAAACATAAGCATAAAATTTTCAAAAGTTATAAAAAAAATTGCAGTATACTTTAAAGGACTTTTTGAATTTCTTTAAGGAAATTCCACGGCAAACTAAAAGTTAAGGAATGTTCCGCTAAAGGATTTCTAAAACTGGAAATCTGAGAATATTTTGTATTCATGAGTTGTTGCTTTTTAATTCAAGCTTCATACAGAGTGCAGTTTTCTTTAATAAACACTCATGAATTAACACGCAGTATTAGTGACTTTCAATCTAAGTAAAGTTAATTTAAGTAGTTTAATTTGTAAATATATTAAAAATAGCATTAATTTTTAAAACAATGGAAGCACAATAATAATAGGTGATCCAAAAGTGTCGTTCATAATATTTGTTCGAATAACAGATAGGGCTGAAAAGTTTCCTCTTAACGGTCAAAAAGTCCTGAAGTATGTAATAAGGACTTAGCGTTATGTAGAGAAATTACGATTTATGTTGTAGAGACATTAGATTATTTCGAAGCAGAAGACATGAAAAATGAGTAATGCCCTCGCCGGGACTTGAACCTCTGACATTTCCAATACGCGACGAGTGTGCTAACCATTACACCACGAAGGCATACTAAGAAGTGGGAGAAATACCTTATATACTCCCCCTTTTAAAGAACGACTGAGTACAAGGGGACCCAATCGCCAAATCCTGAGGTGATGAATCCTCATCCACCTTTTTTAGTTCGGGCGCCCATGTCAAGACATTAGGTTATTTCGAAGCAGGACACATGAAAAATATGCAATGCCTTCCCCGGGACTCGAACCTGGACTTCTCGAATACGCGCCTTGTGTGCCAACCGTTATACCATGAAGGCATGCAGAAAGTAGGGAGAAAAAACAGTTTCTTTTCTCACCTCTGGCACAATTGAGATAAAATTTGTATTTAAATTCCCATTAGGTTTAACTCCGGTTTTTAAGATGTGAGAGAAAACAAACACATTTCTAGTCTTTCTTTGCTTTTTTATCAAAAGAAGTTTTTTTTTTTTATTTTCAATAACTTATGACCTGTTTAATGTATATTTCTATTATTTTCAATGTGTTGGTCGCCCTTTTAAGTACTCTTTGAAATGTGATGAAATTTTACTTTGACATTGTTTATTATAATCTTATAGCTTAAATACCTTAAAAATATGTTATTGTAATTTAGAGGCTCTAGGCATGGTAATTAATTTTTATTAATTTACTCTTCTGCTTTTAATTTTTCTTTCTTTTTAAGTGCTGTTAAATTTTTATAAAGCCCATAGCTTTATAAGCAAAACTCGCACAGTTTCTTACGGTCCAGTCAGAAGTTTAATCATGCTAACATTATATCCAATAAGGAATCATGAATCTTCAAAACAAGCAACTCTTGCCATTGTTCCATAAATTTAACAAAAGGTTTTAATCTGTGGGAAAGAAATAATAGAAAGAGATCTCAATCAAAAATTGTTTTCGCGACTATCTCCTTGAATTTTTCACTTATTATTGTCCTTATTAAATTATAATGTATACTTTACTAATATAATGTCATATAGCTGTAAAGTCGTTGCTATGCTACCAAAATTATAGCCTGCGAGAGATGTGAAAGGCCTCGTGATTGAAACATCCTTGTTTAAAGATGTGAAAAAGGTATTCATACTAAAATGAGTTGGATATGTGTAATTTTTAAGTAAAATGATAGTAGTTTTACGTTAAAAGTGGTGTACTTTCTTTAATAACTTCGTTACACCAATTTCAAATTTTTCTGCGTGAAAATCGTATAAAAATTTAATTACTAACTACTAACTTTTTTTGGCGTTTTCTGGAAAGATACTTATTTTGGGAAGGGGGGGAATGTACAGCCTGTTGAAGTAAAAGTGACAACATCCTAACTGTACTTTAAGCATATCATACAATTCGACATACTTACTCATTTAGCTTTGTGTTACTGTATGAATTAAGCAGCTTTCTTTTAATTATGTAATTTTCGTATGACTAGTTTAATAATTTTTGAGAAGTACGTTTTTTATTCTAGCATTCGTTGCTAATACTATGCCTGCTTTCGCTGCAAAGTTATAAACATTGTGTTCAGAGCGAATAAGTTTGTTAATCTATGACCATTTCATTTGAAAATTAATTTATTTATCTGTAGCTTCCTCATTTGCCCCCTCATAAAAAAGAAATAATAATCGAATTTGTTCCCACAGCAGTTTGATAAGAGACAATGTGATTAGGTTTATATCACATTTTTTTTTACTTCTTTTTTCGTTCATTAATGATTAGATATTTTCTGGTTGACATCAGTTTTAGTCTTTCCACTTTAACGCTATTGTTTTCGTTGGAAATTTATGGCGTTTCTGGATGTTTGTTCTTGTTAAGTTGGGTGTAGATTGGTTTATCTACAACTCTCTTGTGTATAGAAATATTAGTTAAAGATTATTTAGAAATTCGTTGAAATGTGTTATCTTTTTTTGTCTTTATGATAATAACGTCTGTCTTGTTGTACAGCATTGTTCTAAATAGTTCATAATTCGTGCATTTTCTGTCCGAGTGAGTACTATGATTGATTTTATCGCATTAGTACTGAAAGCGTAAAGTCAGTTTTTGTTACACAATGAGTAATTTTCCTTCAATAAACGTGGCAGTGATCGAACTGCCTGACGGCAGTATTCAAGAAAGTGATGTAGAGGCCAATGAATATAAAGTAAAGCTACAAAAGACATATAGCCTCCGTGGCAGCTTTTCTTTACATCATCATTACAGGAATGATGGCTACTTACTCTGCTCCTGCTACTGTAGATATGCAGAAGCAAGGAAGTAGATTCATACATGTGACTGAGGACGAAATTTCCTGGATTGCCAGCCTGCCATCCTTAACTGCAGCTGCTGGAAATATTCTTTCCGGTAAGTATTTGCATTTATTTATTTTTTAAATTTTACATGTAAAATAATTTTGAATAGTAAAACAGGGTTTTTCAGAATGGCCTGATTTCAGATTAACATATTTTCCTACACATTCCGAAAGCAGTAATACTTCATGCTTCATATGAAAAAGGAAGTCTGCAACATACTGAAGCAAACTCTCGTGTTTCTGCACGTTCCTGCTGACCAGAAGTCGAAAGGTAAGATAACTGAATGCTAGTCGTTCGAACAGAGTTCGAATCGTGCAAATGGACTTCCAGCGTTTAGATTTCAGTGGTTTTTCACGTGTGTGATATCTATATCACTTAGTTTCCCTTGATGAGTTATTAATTAACCTCTTATTCGTGAAACCTTTTTTTTTTACAAAATTTACTGTTGAAAGAAAAACCATGAAAATTATTTCTTCTTTTCGCAAAAAAAGTTAGAAATCCGAATCTTCCAACCAATCAGATATGAGTTATATTATGCAGATGAAGAATATAATCTTCATCTGCACGGTTATTTATGGAATATATGTTTCCCTATACATGGTTAGCATAATGGTCTATAATGGTTAGCCGTGCTACTGATGTGGCAAAGCGCAAAGATTCACCAAAGTGTAAAATTTATTTTAAATAACAGATTACTTTTAAGTTAATTCTGTCCCATTACTTCTAATTCTTCAAACTCTCCAGAATTAAGTGAAATTTAAATAGGGAAAGAAAGTGTTTTTCAACAATAAGAGAGTTTTTGCAATGTCCCAGGAAAGCTGTTTATCTTGTGAATCGCCCACCTATTGGTTGAGCTGGTTTCGGTAAGTATAGCACACCTATTAGAAGCCTCCATGATAAAGTGACCACCGCTTCTGGCCTTAGCAGTGGCCAACGTCTATGATGACTTGTGCCCGCTATTGGGGATTTTTTTTTTTTTTTTTTTGGTGTGTGTGTGTGTGTGTGTGTGCATTTAATTACGGCAAAGCACACTAGGGCTATCTGCCTAAGGGGAGGGATGCCTTCGTGGAGGGATGGCCTTCTAAGAGGACTGACTTTATACACGTAATTACACACGTACACAAAAAACCCCAAAACTCCTATGCACAGCCCTAAACCCGGTCGCGGGATTCGAACCTCGGACCGAACTACCAGTGTTCAGCGACTTTACCGCTCGGCCGCTGGTGGGCTAAAAATGTTTTGTAAATTGTTCACATTTGAATTACTTTAATAAATATAATAATTAGCCTCTTTAGCATGCCTTTTTTCCCGAATATTTATATAAGTCATTACATGAACTAGTGTATATATTATAGCGTCATTTAATTTGGGTCTTGAGAAATTTATGTATGGGTCGAAAATCCTTTATGAATGGCAATAAACAGTTACAAAAAAAAACTGTTCCGTCGTGTAATAATTATTTGTGAAGTAATAAAAAATGACAGATTATGCTGCAATGGTTTCCCCCCCCCCGAAGCAGATAGCTTGTTCAGTAAGTCATGAGAACTAAGAATTTATACATAAGATAGATTTTCATAGCATTCTTTAATTGTTTATCACGAGAAAAAAAAAACATTATTTAAACATTTTGTCACTATGTTTAAAAAAATGCAAATTGTCTAACTCTATTTTAGAAATTGCAGAAGTCGAACTTCCATGATAGAGAAATTCAAACCATTTGTCTTTTTTTATATTTATTTTGCAAATTGCAAAATAATTAAATAAATTATTTTGCAAAATGCAAATTGTCTAACTCTATTTTAGAAATTGCAGAAGTCGAACTTCCATGATAGAGAAATTCAAACCATTTGTCTTTTTTTATATTTATTTTAAAACTTAATGTAGGCTTTCTTGGTTAATTAAAAAGTAAAATTACAGCATTATTACAAAAAGAAAAAAAGACAATAGCTTTCCCAACGCGCGATGCACCGCCGTTTTTCAGACAAAAGCCAATGTTTCTCTTACCCGATCAGTAAATTATATCCCACCAAGAGGGGTGTCCTTACGTGCCTTTCCTTGATCACTTATTCTGGTCTTCGCGATGAACACTGCTGTTCGTTTCCAAGAGAAACAGGAATTTCTCTAATATAAACCTGATGTTTGTCATAACCCCTTGCCTTTCAGGGGCTGGTTGTAAAAGTCCAACATCTCTTGCTTAATTATTACTGCTAGAAACACTTAAAGTCATCAGAAAAAATGAATATAAAACGGAAATATTTACATTATGCTAGATTAAGTACCAAGGATTAAAACTGACACTTACATTGAGGCCAGTGTAAAAGAAAAATAGTATAATTACTAAAGACTAAGCTTCATTACACTCAGACAAAACAAAATCTTACAGTTTTTCTGCAAACACGTATTATAAAATATACATCTTTAAAATATTATGCAGATTTAAACAAGTCTACGCAGACTGTGAGAAAATGACGAAATAAAGAAATATAATCTCAAGTCTTCTGGGTTACGCATCGGCATTCTAATTTAGTTTTTTTCTAACCATGAATAATTATGAAATTATATGGCTGAAGAGCATTAAGCGCATTGCATTAAGCGAAGATTAGTACTGGCATTACTTCGTAATCAAGTGAGCGGATTAAGATCAGCTTGCTCAGTAAAGTCCTGTCCATCCAGATAACACTGAAATTTCTTGATATCTAAAACGATGCTGGCACATTCCTTTTCCTTAGTGCGATGCTATTTCTTTACCTCTGAAAACGTCTTGCTCACGAATATAATTGGACGTTCTTCTCTCTCACTAGAGAATTGTGCTAGTTCAACTCCCATTCTATCATCAAATGCATCGGTTTATAGAATAAAGGGAAGAGTAAAATTAGGCGCATATAAAACTGGGCGATTGATAAATTTCTCTTTCACTTCAGTGAAAAATCACTTCAATGAAAATTTCACTTCAGTGAAAGACCTCTCACTCTCTGCACTCCACGAAATATCACCATTTTCTATTTTGCTCTTTGAAACATCAGTCAGCTGAGCGGCGATTTCTGAACACATCGAAATATAACGTCCGTAGGAATCCACTAATCTTAGAAATGCCATTATATCAGTTTTAGCCTTGAGTGTTGGGAAATCTCTTATTGATTTGGTCTTAACATCCTACTGCTTTCGAACTGCTACTGACATTTCGAAGGTATAATGGTTGATTTTATTGCACTACGTTTCAATACAATTTCCAGATGCTTCAGAGGGCATTTTCAGGTTTTTGAAAAAAAAATCGCCACATCATGCAGATGCGGAACTGCCTTCTCGCATTCTTTTAATATTTCTTGCATCATACTTGAAAACAGAAGCACTTTTTTAAACCAAAACTTAATCGAATGGCCTGTAAGTACCAAAACTTGTCACAAATGCTTCTTGTCTATGAGCGTTAGGGCTTAAGGGTATCTACCAATATCTATAACTGTGACATATTTTGCTGAAGCAATTTCTTCTACTCTTTCCTTAATGTTGGCTAAGGGATAGAATTGAATACGCGTAACTTAAACGACGGTAATCCACATCAGGTCTGGAATCTTTATTTGCTACTTCCACGAGTATCATCAGAGAAGAGTAGTCAGATTCTCTCATCTCAATAATTTTTAAGTCAAGCATTCGTTAAATTTATCTTTCTAAAATCTTAGTTTTCCAATGTGACATTCGATACGGCTTGGATCTTGCCGGCTTATTGTTGATAACCTCAATATTATGTTCCACGAGGTCTGTCATTTCTAGTTCATTAGAAAAACTTTAGAAATAGTTATTTAATAATTGATGTAATTGATCTCTTTGTGAAGGCTCTAACAGTTCTGCAAAATTACTACTCTTAACAACTTCAGAGTATCGGAACCGTTGGGATTGATGTCAATATAAAGAAAATCTATTTCAGTATCAATCTGGTCAGAACCATTTTCGCTAGAAGACAAATAATTGATCACCACACTTCTCTAATAATATGGCTTCAACATATTGATATGATAAATTTGGGGATACAACTCCGTTATACGCCGTAATTTCACCAAATGTGGCGATATGTGTTCTGCGCTGGTTTTTGGCGCGATTCCGGGCTGTATGGCAACTCTGTTGAAGTTGAAAAATCTTTCGCTGGAGCTCGTTGGTTCGCTTCATGCTTTGTGTCTGAGAAGATATGGAGAAAAGATAAATTGGTGGAAGTTATTGAATTGAAGTTCGGCAAAAGGAAATATCATCGTGGCCATCCTGTTGAGGAGCAGTGGGTATTTGGAGGTGTGGAAAGAGGGTCTGGGAGATTATTTTTAGTGGCGGTTCATGATAGAAGTAGATATTTGTGATTTTATTTATTTCTGAACCATAGTATGAATTTTCTGGATAGTGTGTCTGGCTGTCATATAAATACGATAGTGATTACGTGGCGGCATGTTAAAAGCGGTATGAAATTGGTATTTCTGCTGTTCGAAAAAGCATTAATTCATGGTAAGTGCATTTTATTTTGTTTGTTTCTTGTTCTTTTCTTATTGTAGAATGCTATGAATTTAGTTGTTTTTTTCTTTTATGTATGAATTTCTGTCGTTATTAAATTTGATTTTTGAATTTGTTTGAAATTTATTTTTAGTTTTATTATTGTTGATTAGTGCGTAGCGTCTAGATTGTGCAATTCGTAGAAGTTTTTTAAAGTGGAAACAGAACGCTCTGCACATACTATTCTTTGAAATTTATTGTTGTTATGTTAATTTATTACAGCGAGGTGTGCGTAGTTCGTAGATTTGTTTGTTGCCTAGATTGTGCCATTCGTAGATGTTTTTTAAGTTTAAACAGGATGCTGTATACATGGTATGCTTTGAAATTTATTGTTGTTATGTTAATTAATTAAAGCGAGGTTTGCGTAGTTCGTAGATTCGTTCGTTGTCTAGATTGTGCCATTCGTATATGTTTTTTTTTTTTTTTTTTAAGTTAAAACATATCGCTGTGTACATGGATTCTTGTCAAATATTTTTGGTTAGAAACTTTACGTTTTTGCTATCTAAATTTTTTGTTTTTGTT